GGGGGGGGGGTGCACGTGGGTCTGTGCGACCCCGTGATTGAAAGGGGGTTAAGCCACTTGGGACAGTTCCAAGCTCCAAACCAACCCTTTCGGACCAGCTAGTCCCTTTCTCCCCCTTCTGAGAGCACCTCCCATTAAGGCAGTGACGCCCCGTCGGGTTGAAAGGAAGCCGCAGCTCCCGGATCAAAATATTTCTCAGGATAGCTCTACACCCACCCCGCTAGTCCCCGGAGCTGGCGAGAGGGACCAGCCCCCTCCTCCCAAGAAGCACTAAGCATGCGCGAGAAGGGGGCGGGTCCCAGCGCTCCAGGAGTAAAAGAAGCGCGCCCCTCCCCCCCTTGGGAGGAGAGGGGAGGGGCCTGGGAGAATCGCGCGGGGCCGCCGGGCCCCAGCGCCCCCTTAAACAAGAGGAGGCGGGCTAGGCGAAGGCGGAGGGATCCCGGAGCAAGGGCAGGGGCGTGTCCTCCGGCCTCGAGGAGGGGCAAGTGCATAGTGGGGGAGGGGCACAGGTCTGTAGGAAAGGACGGGAGGTGTATCGGAGGGGGGCTGGCTGCTGGTGGCTGTGCAGGAGGGGGCAGGACGGGGAGGGGCTTGAATGTCNTTGGGTTGTCTTGGGGTGTGTCTGCGGGGGAGGGGCATGTCTGGATTCGAGGGGGATGGGCACGTCCAGGAGGGGGGAGGCTGCGTGGGAGATGGGGTGCCAGCCTCGGCCTCCGAGGGGCCCCAATACCTGATTCCTGTATGTAAACAGCTGGTTTGGGGGCTTGCGCGCCCCGCTGACGGTGGGCTCAGTAGGTGAAAACCAGGTCGGCGATGCTAGACGGGCGCCAGTCCCCCGCGATCATCTCGGTAACCTCGGGGGTGCAGTAGTCCGGGAACTCGAAGTGCGACGTGCCCGAGGGAGGCTGCAGGTCCGGGTCTCGGTCCAGGGCGCTGCAGTCCAGGCCGGCTGGGCCCGGGGGCAGTTTGGACAGAAAGCCCAGCGACTCCTCCCCCGACGCCACCCTCTCCTCTTCGCCTTCCTCCGCTGCCGCTGCCTCCTCCTCCTCTTCCTCAGGCTCCTCGTCCTCCGACGGAGTCGGGGAGGCGGTGGTGACAGCCGTCCCCTCGCCGGACGGCCCCTGGGCGCGCTCCGCTGGTCCCCGGGCAGCCCGCCCCGCCGGGACCATCTTCCACAGCTCCCGCCCGGGGGTCTCGACCAGGCGCACTTCTAGCAGCTCCTCGTCGTCGTCCTCATCGTCGTCCTCGGGCGCTGCCGNTCTTCCGCCGTTCGTGTTGTGACCACACCATGAACGCGTTCATCGGTCTCTTAATGTGCCCGCTCGGGGTCTTGCACCAGCCGGGCTCACGCGCCCCCTCCTCGGCCGGCCCGGGC